TCTGAATTTTCACTTTTGCTGATTAGTCAACCCAGATCAAACACACTTCACAGATTATTCAGATATGCTGAACAATTGAGGATTATGTAAGAGTCTGCAGGTCCTGAGATTGTTGTACAGAAGCAACATTCAATTCAGTTCAATTCAATTCAATTCAATTCAATTCAATTCAATTCAATTCAATTCAATTCAATTCAATTCAATTCAATTCAATTCAATTCAATTCAATTCAATTCAATTCAATTTCAGTTCAATTTTATTTGTATAGTGCAGTTTATAACATACATTATCACACAGCGCTTAACAAAGAGATATAGACCCTACTAATTTAAACAGAGAAACCAACAGTCCAAAGTTGCCTCTGGACTTCCTATGAGCAAGTGGTTGGCAACGGTGGGAAGGAACCAAAACCCCCCTTCCCAAAGAGAGGGGGGTCGGAAACCTCTGGCAGAACCAGGCTCAGGGAGGACGGTCATCTGCCTCGACTGGTTGGATGAGAGTGGGGATGGGGGGGGATGCAATAGATATGAATATAAGTATTTTGGGGATCGGTGAGGCCAGCGGCTGGAGGTCAAGGACGTGAAGCTCCGGATCCAGAGACGTCATGGGACAGCATGGAAAGGCTACTCATCTGCGTTGATAAAGAAACTTGGAAAAACTTTTTTTTACAACATATTTCAACAACCTTAGTTAATATTAATAATGCATTAAGTGGTTCACCTGCCTCCTCTTCACTCTCTTTAATCCTGTCTTTTCGTCTCTGCAGGACTGGTTCTCCTGCTGCATGTGCAGCTAGGTAATTATAACCTTTCTGTGTTGGTGTGAGTTGTGCAGACATCTTTTAGTGGATAATATGATGTGAGAATTGTTCCATGTGTTACATCCTGACCTGTTATTTCACTAACTGGGCACAGTATTGTCCTGGAGCAGGCATGTATTTGCCCACCGACATTGACCCGTGTCTCTGTGACCACCTTATTTATGCCTTTGCTGGAATGGACAACAACAAGATCAAGACCTCCAAGCAGCATGATGAGAAACTCTATGGGGAGTTTCAGACCTTGAAGAACCAGTTAGTGCACACAAATAGTGATAGTGTGATTCCAGCATACACAGAAATGTGTAAAATACACAAAAAAGACCAAAGAGTGAGAGGTTAAGGTGAATGTTGCTGCCTGCAGGATCAGCAAACTGAAGACTCTGCTGGCCAATGGAGGAGGGAACTTTGGTACCTAGAAGTAAGTAGTGATAGATTCAGGATCAATACTTGCAGCACATGTGGAAACACGTTGCCTGTCTTCCTGTCTCCAGGTTCACAGCTATGGTTTCCAGTGCTGCCAGTTGTTACACCTTCATCAACAGTGTGATCAAGTTTTTACAACAGTACCAGTTTGATGGTCTGGATTTGGACTGGGAACACCCTGACTCTAACAGCTCTCCACCTCAGGATAAGGAGCTCTTCATGGTTCTGACCCAGGTCAGTCATACTGCTAATCAATTTCTGGCTACAAGCAAATCCAAATGGTCAGCTGAAATTAATATACTCTCCTTGGCTTTCATTGCGGCTATTACTGCAAACTAGACGCAGTTATGAGTCACAAATATAGTCAGTAAGAACTATTCAAACTGAGGTTTGTACATTTTTCAGGAACATTTAGACCAGTTTTAATAAATGACAAGATGTCTTGGTCTGTTCCATTACCAACCACAACTGTCAGATAAAACACTCATCAGTGATCCTGGAGACCCAGTTATCTGGTTATGTGGGATCGATGGTAGCCCCAGATAACAACCACTTCTCTGAAATTTCCCTTTTAATGCATTGTGTGCTCTGAATTGTTATTATATCAGGGATTTCTTCTAATTGCAAGGCAAGAACTGACGCAGGTGGGTGCAATTCTCCTCACAGCACCTTCGTAGTCAGATTGAGGAAGTTGGACGTGCTGTATTTTCCAAAGCCTTTATCATACTCAGTAACTTCCAGCATCCTTCACCTTTCAGAGTGGGCGACTGCAGACCTTGATTAACCCAAAACCAAAGAGCTGTATAAATGTAAATGTGTTCAGCTGAACTGTTCCCCTCTCCGCCCTCTTCTGTAGGAGTTGATGAGCGCCTGTCAGGAGGAGGGCAAGAAGACCAACCGTCCTCGTCTGGTGCTCACTGCTGCTGTCACTGCTGGAAAGGGAGCTATTGACTCCGGACACGAGATTGCCCAGATTAGATCGTATGTACATGAGCAGACACATGCTAACATTAAATACCCTCACATTCACAACCCTTAATCAATATCAGTCCTCATGTTTATTGGCCATAGTGCTGGACTCCATCCACGTTATGACCTATGACTTCCAAGGGCCCTGCTGACCAGGGGTCTGTGATCTCCTATAATGTGGTCAACGAGGGGATCTTTACACAATGCCCTCCTGTTGGAAAGTAATAAAAAACAATACATTGCAGGACAGATCGTCATACCCGTCTGTGCTGCATTTATAGGACTATGCTATGAACTACTGCAAGAACAACGGTGCTCCAGCTGAGAAGCTTCTGGTTTGTTTCACCTTCCGCTTGGCTTCCTCTAACACGGCTGTTGGAGCTCCCACCATTGGACCTGGACCCAGTGGAGCTTTTACCAGACAGACTGGCTTCTGGGCCTACTATGAGGTATGTGCTTCTGTTTTCTGAATCTTTTTGTAGATGCACACATAAAACAGAACAGCTTGTACATATTACCTTAAATGTCTCTCCACCCTTCTTTCCTGAAAGAAGGGGTCACACAGGCTTGGGACAATGCGCAGCAGGTTCCATATGCCAACAACCAGGGAATCTGGGTCAGATATGACAACGTTAAGAGCTTCCAAGTTAAGGTACGAAATTGCATTTCATTAATTAAATTCCTGCCACAAATGTTTATGTTTCAAGCTTGTTAAATACTTGGTTCCACCTCTTGTTGGTTTAAAGATTCAGTGGTTAAAGCAGAGCTGTTTTGATGGAGCCATGGTGTGGAGTCTGTCTTCGGACAACTTCAGTGACATTTTCTGTGGCCAGGGAAGATACCCACTAATCAACACTATCAAGAGTGGACTGGGAACTAGACAATGTATGCATCAATCACATTTTTAAATTTTCTAACAAACATGTTGTGGCTGTTTCCATCTTGACCCCCTGCCTCCAGTCACACCATCCCAGCAGCCTCAGCCTGGCAGTAGTGGCAGCACAGGCTCTGGCTTCTGCGCTGGCAAGGCCAATGGACTGTACCTTGACCCAACCAACAAGAACCACTTCTATGAGTGTAACCAAGGACAAACCTATGTCCAGAACTGTGCTGCCAGGCCTGGTGTATGACTACAGCTGCAAGTGCTGGACTTTAATAGTTTGTTGTTGCTCTCTTTAGTTAAGAGCTGGGTCAAACTGTGTAACACCTTTTACTGATCTAACTTCAATAAATATAGCATTTAAAGCAACATCAGATCTCTGACGATTTTGCAAGGATCTTTAATCTTCATAGTCATAAATCAGCAGTGCAGAATGAAGTTTTCACTGATGACTATCTTTGAATGTCAAACATGAGCGACAAAATTAATCTTTTCACTCTCCTTATATACAACAATACAGCAAGACAGTGAACTGTATAACAAGTCAAGATAAACAAGTCTATAAAAAACAATAGTCACAAACACACACATAAAGCTATGACAAATGTCAGCATACAAACAGTAAAAATATTGCAGAAGAAAGCCAAAGGCAACAACAGAGGTTATTTTGGCAATCTACTTACTAAAAATATAGATAACACACATGAGGCCCTATTTCCACTGAAACAAATGCACACTCAACTACTTTGTATATAATCTTTTTTATTATTGTTATTTGTCAGCACAAATACTGTCTCAGTGCCTCCTCCCTTCAGTGTGCCTGTTCTAAATAAAATGAGGTAAATTAAAACAAAAGGAAGATAAAAGTAAACAAAAAAAGCTCAGCCCAAACATGCAATCCCTGGATAATTTCCTACTTGTTTCCTCAAATATCTCCACTTAATATTTGCCGGCAAAATAAATGTATCTCTGTTATCATCTTTGAACACACACAGATTTAAAAATACAGCGTAAATGTGAACAGTCGGCCAGTGAAGGTGCTGTAATTGTGTAAAAACACCTATTGTACCACATGTGCTCATACATATTTATATTAGCAGAGCAGCAGTTGGAGGGTGTTGTGTTATAAATTTGTTCTCTCTGTTAAACTAGTCATTTACCTGCACTGAGGATTAATAGAAACGTTGATTAGTTTCTAAAACTTTCGTTGATGATGTCGAGGAATACCGATCTGTTCTCTGAAGCACTGCAGGCTATAATCACAGTGACAGTAGTCAAAACTGTGACGGCTCCACCAGCTTCATTTAGGTTTTTCTTTTTATTACTCAAAAACCACAACACAAATTGCATGCTATTGAACACAATGACAAATACATCTTAGATTTGTTCGTGAAATGATGACATTGGCTCGCTTTATTGTTTTTTTTGTTTTTTGTTTTAATCTTGCCAGTGTGACTCAAAAATAAGGAATTCTGACGTTTTTTGAACAACATTTTTTTCAGAACCTTTGCTTAGATGTGATTATGTAGTGATGCAAGACTATGAATTTTTGTTTCAGTAATTTAATATAAACTTTTACATTCTTTTGTCCTGTATGATGCAAAAGACATGTAAGTTAATGCAACAATAAATCTGGTTTTGTGGACCAAGAAAGCTTTTATTTGCCATCATGTATCACTAAATGATACCCAGATTGGAAGGGGAGCGGTTGGAGATAAACGCAGCAATCTATGTAGGCTAAGAAATGCATTTTCTTAAAGGACAATAAAATACATTGGAACCAATTTGTTTAAATAACAAAAAAGGATCTTCAATGAAAAGAGTACAAGGTGGAATCTCTTTAGGCTGGATTTTTTTAAGGCCTGGTATCCACCAGATGGAGCTCTTTAAAGAATAACAAAACAAGGAGCCCTTGAGCTCACAAGACAGGATTTGTAGTATGAGCGGCCCAGTTCAACAGCAAACTACAGTTACCACCTAATCTGTTGACAGAGTCTGTAAGTTTGATCTTACACAATCTTGAACAATGACATTTATTAATAGTACAATAAGAAAACTGTGGTGGAATTTAAACCATTTCAGTCTTCAAGTCACAGACATTTGTTGTTAGACAGCTGACATTAGTCTTTTAAGTATTTTAAAAACTAGGTAGCTGTCCTGAAATTATACTAGAAGTTATATTTACATTTTCTTATCATCTGTTCTATCATCTGACACTGCTTCTTCAGCAGCAGCAGTGTTCTTTGAGTAGCGCTCTCCTCGATGGATGTCCAAGTAGGGATGCCAGTCCTCAGATGGAGAGCACAACGATATCAGGCGCTGTCGAAGGGACGGTACAGTTAGGATTAGGAATATAGGTACAGACTTAAAAGGGCATCGCTGTCTAAAATTTATAGGAAAAAAAATCTGCTTTAACCCTTAACCCCATTCTTTTATTATACGAGAAAACAAACACACCTTACAGAGGTTTCCCTCTGCTTTTATTAGCTTGTACACAGCGGTGACAGGGATCCAGATGAGGATGAATGCAACCATGCACCAGCCCAGAGCCAAACCCCAAGCTGGGTACTGCACTTTCCCATAGGTGGGGGGCACAAAGGTTGCCAGAGACCACACCAGGATCACCTACAGAACAGAGCCAGTGGTAAGCAGAGCATCAGTCATGTTCATACAGATCTACAGAGCAGTTCACCAAAATTGTGACAATATTAGCAGTAGCATAAAGAAAATGAAAATGGGGACAAACAACTGTTGATGGGCAAATCTCTTGGACTTACATAACAAATGTTATATTAACAGCCTTTGGCAACATCTTCCATGAAGATTAAAAGTGAAAGGACGCCTACATTGCTGGCAGTCAGGAGCAAAATGTATATCTGTCCCTTTATTTTTGGTTTCAGGCTGAATAATGAAGTGACATAAATTGGCACTTCAGTCTAATTATTTGGGGGGTTATGAAACGGGTTTGCCAATTGTGTAATCACTGCTACAATAGCACAACCATTTCACAAGATGGGGGAGAATTCTAATACTAAAAATATATAACCTTGTTTCATGCTACAAAACAAACTAGAACATAACAAGCGTGTGAACTGAGAATCCACAGGTTAAATAATAAAAAAGGACAAAAAATCAGGCTGTATTCACCACTATGATGGAGGGAGTGAGGAAGAACCAGCAGGCTCTCCACCACAGCCAGAAGCAGAAGCTCCTTTTTCCAATCATCATCTCAATGTCTTTGATAAAACGGTTTACACCTGTAATGTATGAGAAGAACAAGTGTAAATCAGGGCAAAAAATAAAAAAGACTTCTGATGTTAGTGACTGTAGAAGTGAAGTCACTAGTCAACTGTTAGCCAAGGTGTTAGCAACACCATTTTTTTAAATGATAGAAAATCAGTTTAAAAGTGGCAAAATTAAATATTACATTTAGTTATTGAGATTACTGTTCTGTTGATTCTCATGTCCATTTCCCCTGAGATAAACAAAGGTTTACTGTTTCTAAATTGGATTATTTACTTAGTCTTGTAATATTCTATATTTTGTGTTAGAATATGAGATTTTTCTTCAAAAAAGTGGAGTGCTAAACCTAACATCTAACATAGAACTGTGTTAGAAAAATATACAAAAGGTAGAATATCTCTAATTTTCACTTCAAAGAAAGTACACATATTTAAACTTCTCATGTGGTTCACATCACAATAGAAATATGCTTCAATGTTTAAGCAAGTCTCCATCAGAATGTTCATATTTTAGTTTTTTAGTTTTATTGCCACCAATAAATCCCATGAAAAGATTAAAACCACCAATAAATTTACCCTATAAGTATTTTTGTTTGTGGCCAAAGTCTGACATGAGTTATGTTCTGTGTCACAGACCTCCACTGCTGTCCAGCAGCATGATTAAAAACCAGTGAGCCACACTAACAATAGCTATAATGTGCGCTGTAGTTCACTTTCAACTAATCTCTTATACACTGTCCAGCACTGTACCTGCCGAACCTGCAGCTAAATATACTCCTCAATAATTGTGCTATTTCTTCCTGTTCATGTAGTTTGTGCTTAAAACTACTTTGTCTGGTCGAAACTGAAAAGAATTCAGTTCTTTCAAAGCAATGCTGGTCCAGTCCAGACTAAAATAACTTAAAAGCAAAAAAATATTGTACCCTGTGTATCCTCCACCTTCATCTCGCACCTACTTGAGGTCACAATTTTCATTTGTTTTTTAACTGTTCAGTGATTTTCCAGGTATTTGCTTGATAAAAGCTTTAGAAACATTGCTGACACAGAGTGTAATATAAACATTCACATAAGTACACATATGCAATTAATAGAGCCAAACCATTGGAACAGCTTTTAAAGTTCAGTTTATTAAATGTTATCACCGCTACATATCACTCTGCACAACAGTTATATTTACCGTATATGTAGCAGAAGCCAATGATCTCCATGAGAGCCAAAATTAGCATCACCCAGCTGGCAACAAACTGGTCGATTAGAGTTACCCAGTATATTCCTGCCTATCTCAGAAACACACACACACACACACACACACACACACACTGCAGGAAATCAGGGTAACAACATCAGACAACAGAAATGTAGTCACTTTTTTCAGACCTACTGTACCCTTGTCACACACGGAAGGCCCAGGAGGAAGACAATGACACACATCAGTATGGTCACGATGGCACGTTTGGATTTGAGGGTTTTAGGAAAGGCATCCAACAGGCACGTGGTGATCACCTCTAATGACAAGAAGAGAGATGACAATAAAGGAACTGAGCTATTCATTACTTAAATATCATCTGTTGCTTCTGAAGTAGTATGAGTACTGGTAAATGTCAGTTTCACATATTGTAGTAAACTGAGTCCACGCCAACTACGAAAAGAATTAAAAAGAAAATAAGGATGCAAATGTAACAGTGAAGATCTCACCTATTGCTGCAAACTGAGAGTCCAGACCAACAGTCAGCAGCATGAAGAAGAACAAAATGGACCACAACGGGGAAATAGGAAGCTTGGCCAGAGCATCTGGATATGCAATGAAAGCCAGGCCAAACCCTGCACAAACAACAGATCAAACTAACATCAGGCAAACTGGAAGCTGTTTGATTATTTTTTTAAATGAAAAGTGGTGTTATAGCTGTCTGACCTTCTTTCACCACTTTTCCAACAGGCTTTCCATAGATGCGAGCCATGTGTCCTAAAATTGAAAAGATGGCAAAGCCTGCAAACACACTGGTACCTAGAAAGAGGGGATGTTAGTAACCCAGACTAATCAGTTTGCATCCCAAAACTTCCTTGTGGCCTAAAGTGCATCTAGCAACAGAAAACTATAGGAGCAGCTATGAATGACACATGAGGGAACTGCTAAGAGAATTTTTTAAAAGTAGAGATAGGCAATTCAATGTTTACTAAATTAAACACATAATTAAGTGAAGTTTAAATGTGTGAAAAATAAAAAGGTGTTTTCGTACCATCGTTAATGACAGTTACAATAACTGAATCCAAGAACATGTTGTTGTGGAAGTTGCTATAAGAAGCCAGGGTTGAAACGCCACCCCAAGCGATGGACAGGGAAAAGAAAGTCTGAGTTGCTGCATCCTTCCAGACCTAAAACACACCAACATGTCTTTCAAGGCTGAAACGAGAGATATTCCTCAAACTTTATGTGTAGTTTTTTAGCCATGCTAGTGGCATAATTGTGGGAAGGTTATAATGGTTGTTCAGTTGGTCCTTTACTTTGATCCAGACTGAAATGTCACACAACAACATTAAGTGCTGCATGAATTGCTTTGAATTATTTATATTAGTTCCAAAACAATAGACTGTCAACCACATAATGCTATGTTCCCCAGCTATGGAACGCATTGCAATGTGGCTTGCAAGCAGAAAGTAGTGTCCATGGCATGTAAGCCACTTTTATACATTCCATTGTTGAGGATTTAAGGGGACCATGTGGTGGATATAGTTTTGCCATCAATTTTATTTATTTCTTTATTTATCTACGCTTGTAAAGAATAAAATAGAAGACAACAAATGCACAGTGATTTTGGACCCAACCATGGTGTCTTTAACAGGAACTGTTTGGTTCTTACCTGTCCTTCGGTCAGTTTTGTCAAATTCGATTGGGAACCGATGTAGAACTCAATGCCATCTCCTGCTCCCTCCAGTGTCACACCTCTGATCAGTAGAATCAAAATCACCACATAAGGAAATGTAGCTGTGAAATACACAACCTGCAGAGACAAAAGTCATAAGCTCACACACTGAACTTGGAAGCTGACCTCACAGCAATGCACAAGGACAGGGGGAGGCACAATATTATATTCCATCACATCATGAAGGAGATTTGCCAAATTCTTGTACCAAAGGAGGAACTGTTGATGTTGACTCACTTTGCCTGATGACTTGATGCCTCTGATGAGCGCTGCAGCAACAAGTATGGAGCTCAGCAGTAGACAGAGAGCCAAGTACCAAACTACTGGTCCTGTTTCATCCAGACCACTGGATCTCTGCAGAGCCACACGGCTGAGGAAGAGAAAGACATATTGATCTGTAGAGCCACATCAGTGTGACAAGTGTGTGTATTTGTGTTTGCTTGCTTCAGTGTATGGTTCTCACTCCCAGTACTGCTCACTCGGGCTCTGCATTGGAACTGTGATCTTGTTAGATGAAGGACAAGTGTTGTTTTCCTGAGTCCAGTTGACCATCAAAACACCACTTACATTACAATACACTAGAAGAGGAGAGAGGACGAGTGAATGAGTCACTAGGAATATCTATCTATGCGATGGTTGTGTACATGGAGTGTTTACATTATTTAGATTTCTGTGCTGTGATAAGACTCTAAGCTGCACATCCTACAATTTTCTTTTTTCAGAATCAGTTTGCTTAAAACTGCAACTACGATCAATTCATCAAAAGGCAGATTTGAGCATCTGCACATTTGCACAAATAACAGTGATGGAGAGGAGCAGCACCTTTGGGCGTGCTGCTGCATTTTCTGTCAGCCCAGTTGGAGCAGCTGGACCACGGCAGAGGAGACTGCATGGAGGCGAACATGTAATACAGGCTGTAGGCGATGATGACATTATAGTAGATTGACACCAGTGCGTTCACCATAACCATGGACAAGCCGACACCTGCAGAATATAATTGGTTGCAATGCATTCATAATAACCAGACATGACAATACAAAATGTGTTGAAAACTAGTATTTGACCCCACTGAGCCCTTAATCCAAACATTGTTGTTTTTTTTTCTCTTCTGTATTTACTGCTTGGTGAAGGAAAATAATCTCCACTGTTGATATTGTAAAAATGCTATCTCATATGTCACACTTATGTTTAACCCCTGATGTTATTGATTTACAATGATAAACCGGTGAGGACACCCAGGATCTTTCTGTGTGGAGTTTGCATGTTCTCTCCCCGTGCAGCGTGGGTTCTCCCCGGGTTCTCCAGCTTCCTTCCACTAGTCCAAAAACACGTTGAGGTTAATTGGTGACTCTAAATTGTCCGTAGGTGTGAATGTGAGTGTGCTTGGTTGTCTATCTCTCAGTGTAGCCCTGTGATAGACTGGTGACCTGTCCAGGGTGTCCCCGGCCTTCACCCTAAGTCAGCGGGGATAGACTCCAGCCCCCCCGTTACCCTAGTGAAGATTAAGCTGTGTATAGAGAATGGATGAATGGATGGATGGATGGATGGATATATTTACAGTACTGACACTTTAACATCTGTTATTTAGATGTGAGACAGATAGTAAAAATGTATTGAAAGTTTTTGGTTCAGTTTCCTCAATATGAGTTTTTGCAATAATAACTTACCATCACTTTTTAAGATGATGAATGTATTTATTATTTGAAAACATAAGCAAAACTAAATTAATCAACAATAACAGTGACTGATACTTACAGCCATTTTCCCAACAATAATATCATCCCATTACATCATATTCAATATATTTGTCTTAAACCTGAGGGTGTCTGTGAGTTTTACCCTGCAGTATTGGCACTGCTCTCCACATGTTGATGGGACCTTGGCTGCAGAACTGACCAATGGCGTTTTCCAAGAAGAAAAGAGGAATTCCACACAAAACCAACATCAAAAAATAGGGAATGAGAAAAGCACCTGTTCAGAGGGAAAACACAAGTTTTTTATGAAATTCATAGTACAACAGTGTTATCAAGAGTTTGCTTCTCAACCCTGATGCCAAACAATTACCCCCTCCATTCTTATAGGCCACATATGGAAATCTCCAGATATTTCCCAGACCGACAGCGTAGCCGATCATAGAGAGGATGTATTCTGTCTTGTTGGTCCAGTTTCCACGCTCAGGATTCTCATCGCCATCGTCCACGTGAGTGTCCTGCTAAAAACAGAGATTCTGAAGTTGTAAGGCTTTGCCTACATCTGTGCAGCATATACGCTTTAACTGAGGGACACCTCCACCAAAAACACCATGCAGACACAGACACATGGAATGTAATAAACGCAGCTGGCATTCACAGCACTGTGTGTTTGCAGTGAAATTTACTGTTGGACTTTTCATGAATTAATCCTTTAGATGATGGCTACCTGGAGCCACCCGTCACTGATGTCAGTCATCGTGTTGACACACTGTGAGGGCGAGTCAGTGTAGTCAGCAAACTTTGAAAGGTGAATTCACTCCCTCAGGGCAACAATGTCTACAAACGCTGTCTCTACTAGAAAAATTTTCCTTAGAATGCTGATGAGCTTTCCTAATTTTGTCATATTATTGAAAGGTTTTAAATCAGACTAAGCTATGTTTCACTTTTTGTTGTCGTTTTTATCCTTTTTTGTAAATCTAACCATCTGTTCTGCAAAGAAACAATATCTGTAATATCAAGAAAGTTCAACATTGTGAAAATGCATATTTTTAACATTGCAAAATACTTAGTTATAGATTCAGCAATACAGATGTCAGCAATCTTACCTGACCAGTAAGAGCAGGAGGATCTTTGGAAACATTTAGGCTATATTTCCACATTTCGTTCCATCTGCTTCTGATATCTTTGTGTTTGAACATTCAAATTCACCAAGACACTCACAAAACTGGTTCCTGCTTGTGAGCACTTTCAGAGAGGCAGGTCTGGTCTGCTGCCTTCAGGTGAGCCTGTTGTGGGTTAAACAAAGAGACAGCACCTTGATTATAAAAGCGAATGTTTGAATTAGTACATTAAGTCTATATGAAATTCCATTGACTTGTGAGGCTTCTGGGAAATAGAATAAATAAAATTTGAGATTATTTTGACTTTTGATGCCCCTTGTGAATTACGTTTAACCAACAAACTACATTGAGTTAGTTGATTATTCATAAAAATCAGATTGTCTCAACTAGTATTTACATGTCATTTATAAGTTGTTGTTTCGTAAGTGTTATGCAGTTAAGTATAATAAGTATAAATAAAAATTTTGAAGTTGACAAATAAGATGTTAGGCAAGGGGACTTGAAATGCTAACCTGAAGGTGAATGAAATTTAGGTTATCAAGACAATTTTTTTAAGTTGCCTCAAATTGAATATAGTATTAAATCAATTCTTGCAGAAATCTGAGTTTAAATGGCACACAATATTAAGCTGATGCAATTTCCAACATTATTATGTGAACCCAGCCCATCAAAATCATGGTTAGGGTTATATGAGTAACAATTTTTTTTTTTGTATTAGACAATTGTGCATTTATTTAAAGTGGGAATGGTCCCCTAAATTATTATTTTTAGAGCTTATACAGCACAAAAGCTAGCCCTGGTAGCCTGTTTGTAATTAGCCTTGATACAAGAAAGTAACACGTACCAGGACACCAGGTGAGGTCAGGTGAGTATTTCTGCAGGTCACTGTTGGCCTATCAAACTACAACCGTGCATAGCAACAACACTTGCTACTTGTTAACTGGCCTAATTCTCACTGACACGAAACAGTCAGCACTGACATATTTGACCATGGCTACAAACAAACTTCAACACTGTTTGAGGACTTCTTCTCTTTTTGTTGATATAAGCGGTCGTGGAATAAGTACGAAGGAGTAACACCACAATGAAAAATCAAACTCAAATACAACAGAAAGTTGTGCATTCAAAATCTTACTTACTTAATTTCATAACAGGCAGCGTCCCAGCAGTGCATCTGTCATTATAAACTTATGCTGAATCCGGTGAGGTTCTTGTGGTGATTGATTGTACACTGGTTGTCCTCTCTTCTACCACTGCGCTGACTTATAATACACTGTAGGAATGTCTGGTGAAAAGATGGTTAAAAGTAAAGACAGAGGAGCAGATCTCAGTTTGTTCACTGACGTCACACCCTTAAGCACTCAAAGCAGACAGTACAGCTGCTGTAATAACAGTGTGATGAGAAGTGACAGAGCAGAGAGATAAATCCTAAACTGCAGCACAAACTGTTATTGACACCTCTTCTTACTGCTTATTACTTATACCTTTGCTCCAATTATGGTCACAGTCAACCAGTCACTCACAAAAACACAAGTCCTTAGTCACTTTGTCTGACGCCTAATATGAACCTCTATAGCTTAGTCAAATACTACTTTTACTGTTAACACAAACTGAGAGGTTCTTTTGTAAATATGAACTATCACAATGGTAAACACACACACATGCACACACACACACACACACACACACACACACACACACATACACACACAGTAAATGTGGTTTTACAGCTTTTGCTGAAACTGAGACTTCTCCTCCTGCAGCAGTGACTAACACTGACGCACTGAATAAAATACACAGTGATAAGAAGGATATAATAGAATTCAACATTAACTGCTTGTGTGGTCTTTGATGTGAAGACAATAAAGATACAGGAGTCCGGGTGAAAACACTACCAGAGCATCAATAATAAAAATAAAACAATTACAAATAATAATAATTTTTTCAACCTCGTTATCAAAATAAGTGTTTTCCTGGATCATAATGAAGCTCAGATTCTTAATTAGCATTCCTAATAAAGTAGTGCTAAGGCTTTTTTTGTTTGCTTGTTTCTTCCCTTACAGTGTAAAGAGGGGTCAGTGTAGTTTTTTTTT